GGTGCTGCAGGGATGGGTGCTGCGGGGCTGGGTGCTGCAGGGATAGGTGCTGCGGGGCTGGGTGCTGCGGGGCTGGGTGCTGCAGGGGTGCTGCCTCGGGGCCCGTTTTTGGGAAAGTTAGAGCGTGACTGGCTTTGCTGTTTGGGTCCTGGTGTGATGTTCCCTTTCCCGTTTGTGTGTCAGAGGACGGAGCTGGGGTCTCTTTAGTGGTCTTGGCAGTGGTAGCTGGAGAAGTTCATGGAGCAATGTGTGTTCTCCTGCCTTGGCCCTGTGAGCTCCTCCCCAGCCCTGCCTGCACCTGGGGCTGAAATGCCTGGTTATGGTGGTGCCTGTGGACCAGCAGAGCCCTGGGGGGAGGTGTCCAGCTCTGCCAGGGAGTGGTTGCTTCCTAAATGATAACTTTCTCCCTCCACACTTTATAATTAAACAAAGACTGTCCGAGCTCCCTGAGCACGTGGCAGAGCTGAGCTTGGCACATTGTGTGCTCAGGCCCGGCCTATGTGTCCTTCCTGTGGGAAGGGTTGGGAGAGCTGGCTGCTGTGTCCCCTCCCCAGTGCAGGGGTGGCAGGGACACGCTGGGCCTGACTGCCTGCTGTGGGCTGGCTGTGCTGGGGCTGAGAAAGGAAAAGCCATTTTGAGGAGTAAGTTTGAACCTCGGGGGCTCAGGCTTTCATCTGAGGCTCCCAAACAGGCTCCTGAGAAAGAACTGAACACAAAGGCCCTCTGAGGGTCCTGCTGGGGTTTTGAGGGTGCACATAATATGAGGTGGCAGTGCCTGCTCCTGTCTTCCTTGGATCTACAGCCTCATGCTGCCCCGTCTCTGTCCCCAGCCTCTCCTCTGGGTCATCCTCGTGCTGGGAGAGCAGTGTATCCTCTCACACCTCCCTGCACGGATTCCCAAGTGAGATTCACCATTTCTTGGTGAGCTTTGCAGGCTTTTTGTGGCAGCGGTGCTGCTGGCAGTGATTGCTGCTGTTCTGCAGCCTGGCAGGCTGGGGAGGGGGAGCAGACCCTGCAGGGGCTGTGCTGCATCCCAGAGCACCCGGGACCGGCCGCCCGGGCCAGGGGGCAGCCCAGCGAGTCTGGGCAGCTCCCAGGAATTGTTTGCTGGGTCAGGGAGCAGACGTGCAGCAGCAGTGGGATTTCTGCTCACGACTGTAGGGGTTTACGCAGCTTTAGGCTCCCTCTGGTGCCATTCCTCTCCTCCCTTTGTTGAGGTGATGTGTCTGCAGGGGGGGGCAGGATGTGCACCCCGGGGGCTGTGCCTGGGGAGGTGGGTGCTGGACACCTGTTTTCCTTCAGCTTTGGATGTTACCAGGGTTTAGTGCTGCCCTCGGCACCCAGAACATCACATCGCAGCTGGTCTTTGTTTGTCAGAGGTGCTGACAGATGAGCTTAAAGCAGAAATCTCAATTGTTGAAGCAGTTGGAAGCGATGCTGAGCGAGAGAGCCGGGGAGGGGGCGGCAGGGCTGGAGCCTGGGGTCTCTTTGGGGCTGGGGAGAGGGGGTTTGCTTTTGTTTCCCAGCAGGGCCTTAGGTGGGTAGAGCCCTGCTGGCTCTTCAGCCTGCCGAGCTGAGTTACGTGCTCCTGAAATGAGTGTGCTGGTGAAGGGGCAAGTTGCAGCACAGATCCATAGCCCAGCAATGAGGCAGCTTCCTCAGCGCTGTCCCGGGAGCCTCGGGGAGAGCCTGGAAGCTCCTGCTCCCAAAAACAGGCTCCTGGGAGGGCAGGGAAGGGAAGGCAGAGGAGCTGGGTGCAGGGCAGCTCTTCCCACCTCTCGAGCTGTGCCCACCTCTGGAGCTGTGCCCACCTCTCGAG